AAAAAAAAAAAAAACATCGTATAGGTAATTCTTTAGGCCCCTATAAAGCCTATAAGCCCTGAACCTTAAACCCTAAACCCTAAACCTTAATCCCCAAACTCCAAACCCCCTAAACCCAAACCCCCCTTTGGGGACCTTTAAGGAACGCTTCGAAGCTCGGGAAGCCCGGGAGGACCTGGCACTGTTCTTGGCAACCCTAAAACCCTAATAGTAGATCCAAAGCCTATATTACTTGGAGGCTCAGGGGACTTAGTAAGTCGGTTATAAGTAGGGTTATAATTGGGGTAACTCCATTTAGGGTACTTATAACTCTAGTTATAACCTACGTACTAAGTCCCCTGTCCACTGGACCTCTAAGTAAGCCGATGTTGCCCACCGAACCCATGAACCCTAAACCCTAAACCCTAAACCCCTAAACCGAACCCATGAACCCACCAGGCTTTCACACCATCAGCGTGATGCGACCCTCGCGGAACATCTTGAGGCCTGGGATGGGAAGCTTCTCGTCGGTGTAGGCTTTAGGTTTTAGGGTTTAGGGTGCAGGTTGTGGGGTTCAGGGTTTAGGGTTTAGGGTGTAGGTTGTAGGGTTTAGGGTTTAGGGTGTAGGGTGTAGGTTGTCGGGTTTAGGGTTTGGCTTTAGCGTTTAGGGTTTAGGGTGTAGATTTTAGGTCTTAGGGGGATAGGGCACTCTATTAATTAGACGTGGGTTTGGGTGTACATCGTGGAAAATTATATAAGGACGATGAAGGGTTCATTGCGCAGTATCCAGAACCCTATAGTAGGGTTTAAAGTCTATCTATTCTACCCTAGCATATCGCCACCTACCTGTTTGCCAGGTCCTTTTGAAAACCGTCGTCCAGAACCTGACGCGGCCCATGCAGAACATGAGGTTCAGTCTAGGGTTTCCTAAACCCGGCACCCTGAACCTTAAACCTTAAACCCTAAACCATGAGCCCTAAACCTTAAACCCTAAACCCTACATTAAACCCGGAACCCTAAACCTTAAACCTTAAACCCTAAACCTTAAACCCTGAACCTTAAACCCGAAACCCTAAACCTTAAACCTTAAACTCCAAACCCTTCAGGGATGCGCGAAGCTGGATTACGTAAAGTTAGGGGCTTCCGTGTGGGGCTTCCGGCTGAGGGATGACAGGTTAAGCGTGTAGAGGGTTTAGGGTTTAGGGTACCATACCCTATACAACATCGTTGAACCGCCTAAAGCGAAACTAGAAGGAGTCCTTTTACAACCGATCGTTCAGCCCTGGTAAGGGCTTGAACCAATTGACGTGATGACAATAATCAGCGCTCTGTACATAAGGCCTAGAATCGAAGGCTTCGGTGTATGTTATACTAAAACTGTGCAGGAAATTTGCGATGAAAACTCGTTCAAAAAACCTACCAACCCATGCCAGGATCCGTAGCAATGGAAGCCCCGGCTACGACCCACTAACAACCCACTGTTCTCTTCTTTGTGGTCGCGGAGCCGGAACCACTCAAGGGTGACGTGACCCGGGGCCCTCGCCTGTGCTGGGATCTCGTCCCGTTGAGGTTTAGGGTT